GAGGTGTTTTTATTTTCCATGCTATACATTTTGTATTGATGTAACCTGGACAACTGGCATGCTTCGCTTTTATAATCAAATGATACAGGAAATCTAAACACACACAACTCAGGACCTCAAATGGCTGCACGGGTGACTTGCCCCTGCAGTTTGTCCTAAAAGGAAGACAGAATCATGGACTTAGGTCAAAGCTTGGAGGGCATCCTGACCCCTCAACCTCAACCCAGCATCTGCCTGGATGGCATACCTCTTTGCTGAAGGTACCTTTTTGTTTGTGTGGTTCAAGACTAGAGATGATGGCTGAGAATTAATTGTTATTGGATAAACAAGAATGGTTCCCCCTCCCACCCCCGGGAAATGCGGTGGCTCTTGAATCCAGCAAACAATAGATCAGAGCAGAACTCTGTGTCCTGGGGGAAAACAGAAGTGGGAGAGAGAAGATCATTAGTTGCCCTGGTGCTGGGCACCAGGAGAGCCCTGTTTGGGGCCTGAAAGCAGAACCTGAGACAAGGCCTGCATGCAGGTGGTTTAACTGGGGAAGTGATTCCAGGGAAACAGAACGGGAGCCTGGGAAGTCCAAAACAGAGAAGGCAGGAAAGCCGGTAAATATGAGGATTTGTTACGGAGTTGGCCACTGGTGTGGGAGGGGGCCTTGATCCTGCTGGGACTGTCTTACGAGCCTTGCAGAAGGCACCTCAGAGCTTTCCACTGAAGGGCTGGCAGAGGTGGGTATTCGTCCTCCTGCCATCCTTCCCTGTTGGTTAAGGGTCGCCAGTCAGGGTGTTCTCTCCCTGGCTCTTCCAGGTTTGTGCAAAGGAGGCTAAGTGGTGAGCGCCTGGGAAGGAAATGGATCCTCAGTGCAGATACCTGGCAAGGTGCTGCTGGGGTGTGCCTGCAGCAGTAACGGGAGTAGAGAGGGGGACCGGGGGAATGTGGCATGTGATACTCAAGCATCCTGCGCAGGGCCCACACCCCTCGTCCATTCCTGCTGGCTCAGAGGCTCAGCAGCTTGGATCCTGTGACCTGGAGGAGAGGCGTATGGTACCCTAGGGAAAGCTGGCTCTCTGGAATCAGCTCGGCTTTGAGCATGGTCTTGATGAGAGCTGAGGACCTTGGACCAATTACTGAGCCCCCCAAGCCTGTGTCTCTGTGGTGCAGTGACAGCACTAACCCCTAGTCAGGATCCTTGTCAGGAAGGAGGGGATTCATGGGTACCAACATGGTGCGCAGCTCTCAATGGAACAAGTCAACTGGAGTTACCAGGATCTCACAGCAGACAGCTGGGCAGCCCTGAGCACTTCTGCCCCAGAGTGGCCTGCATGGCTGGGCTGGTTGCCCGCCCTAGTCCTCTCCATGACTGCATCTGGGGCCCCTCGACTCCAGCGCAGTCTTCCTCTGACAGCATCGACAGCACCGGCCAGTCTGTCCCTGTGTTCTCACTTCTTTGTCTCTGTTCCTGGTCTCTCCCTTCTTCTGCCCCGTGTTGGAGTCTCCCTGACTCTCACAGGGTCACTCCTTGGGCACTGTGGCTGGGTGTGAGAGCGTGTGTGCAGGACTGTGAATGTGAGGAGGGGTGTGAGGAATGTGTGTGATAGTGGGGTGTGTGTGAGAGAACGTTCCTTCACATACGTGTGCATGAGTGGATGTGTGAGTGTGCATGTCTGCTAATGTACGTTCACGTTGGCCTGTGTGTGTGTGAGAATTATACCTTCATGTTTGTGAGTGCGTGTGTGACAATGTATGTTCGTGTTTGTGTGTGGGTGTGTAAATGTGCATGTGAAAATGCATTCGCATTTGTGTGTGAGTGGGTGTGTGAGTGCGAGTGTGTGTGAGAATGTACCTTCATGTTTGTGAGTGTGAGTGGGTGTGTGTGATCGTGTGCTTGTGACAATGTACCTTTGTGTTTGTGTGTGCGAGTGGGTGTATGAGCATGATTATGTCAGAACGTACTTCACGTTTGTGTGTGTGATTGTGTATGTGTGAGAGAATGCACCTTCATGTTTGTGTGAGTATAAGTGGGTGTGTGTGTGAGAGAACGTACCTTCATGTTTCTGTGTGTGGGTGTGTTAGTGTGATTGTGTGTGGAAATAAACCTTCACGTTTGTGTGAGTGGGTGATTGTGTGAGAATGTACTTTACGTTTGTGTGTGTGGGTGTGTGATTGCATGTGAGAACGTACCTTCGTGTGTGTGTGAGAATGTACCTTCACGTTTGTGTGAGTGGGTGTGATTGTGTGTGTGAGAATATACCTTCACGTTTGTGTGTGAATAGGTGTGTGATTGTGAGAACATACCTTTGTGTGAGTGTGAGTGGGTGTGATCGTGTGTATATACTTTCACATTTGTGTGTGAGTGTGAATGGGTGTGTGTGATTGGGTGTAAGAATGTACCTTCATGTTTGTGTGTGCGAGTGGGTGTTTGAGCGTGATTGTGTGTGAGACGTACCTTCACGTTTGTGTGTGAATGTGAGTGGGTATGATTGTGTGTAAGAACACACCTTTGCGTTTGTGATTCCAAGTGGGTGTGTGATTGTGAGAACGTACCTTCATGTTTGTGTGTGTGAGTGGGTATGTGAGTGTGATTGTGTGTGAGAATGTACCTTCACGTTTGTGTGTATAATTGTGTGTGAGAACGAACCTTCACGTGCATGTGTGAGTGTGCACGCATGTGCCTGGCGGTTGCCTCATCCGTCCTGGTGGGTGCCCACCTCACCTCTTCCTCCCCTCTCCTCGCTCGGTGCCATCTGCACAGGACGTGGGCCCTGCTGGCTGCCCTCGGATGCTGTTTCTAGGCCCCTGGCGCGGGCAGAGGGAAGCGGGCTGAGGATGCGCAGTGAAGACTCCAGACACCAGCGTTGCTGGGGCTGGGCGTGGTCTGTGCCCCTCCGCAGGTGTGAGCGTCTCCTCGGGAGCAAGGACCAGGATCCCTGGTTCCTCCTGCCCAGTCATTGAAACAGAGTGACTATTCCACAATATGTCATGGAAATAATGTCAATGGCACACGAGCCACAGTGCCAGTGACACCCATGGGCCCGATCCCCAGACAGCGGCAGCAGCTCCCCTTCCTGCGCCCCGCCCTCCAGGCACTGCGCGCTGCCTTCTTCTCTTTGGTTTCCCAGGTAGAGACCCCTGGCGTCCCTGTTTTGCGGGTGGGGAAGCGGGAGCGCAGAGATATGAGGTAACTTGCTCCGGCCCCAACTAGGAAGCGGCAGAGGGAGGCCCAGGCTCTGGCCACCCAGAAGTCCGGCCGGCCGTACAAGGAAGGCTCAGGAAGCTTCCTTTGGTTGTCACTGCTTCTCTGTAGCCAAGGGTGCCTCAGGGACTCAGAGCGAATCCTGGAGAGTCACAGCTCCCTGCTGGCAGTTGAAAGAGACTCCAAACACCATTCTGCTCCAGCCCAGGTGGAGACATTGAGGCCCAGAGGGGTTAAATTTGGGGAGAGAAGGACACGTGCCCACGGAGCGTGAAACGGCGTGTCGTGTGAATGCTGAGTAATTCCGAGGCCTCTGCGGGACGTCACGTTTCCAAAAGCGCCCGAGCCCTGCCCCTCCGGGAGGAGGCACCATAGAAATGTGTGCTAACAAGCCTCCCGCGGCCTGCGGGGGATAGGAGAGAGCAGGAAGCTTTCAGAACAATGGGAGTGACTAGAAAAGGCTCAGGCTGGGAGGAGATGAAGGGCCCAGCCCCACGGTCTTTCTCATGGGTGGAAAGTCACCAGCACCCAGAAGAGCAAGGCTAAGACAGCCTGGGGAGCTGGCACAGGTTCTCCGATCTTAAAGACGCCTGTGATTAGATCCGGCTCACCGGGATATTCCAGGAGAATCTCTCCATCTCAAGGTCCTTCACTTAATCACATTTGCAAAGTCACTTTTGCCAATGTAAGGCATCATAGTCACAGTTTCTGGGGGTTAGGGTGGTGACATTTTGCGTGGACATGATTCTGCCTATCACAGCAGGCTCCTAATGTAATATAGATCCCTGTAGTACTGATTAGAGGAAGGACTCATCTTAATTCCTCCCATTACAACTTTCTCTAATGTTTCTAATCTCCATGCTGAAATAAACGAGCCTTTGCCATGTTAAATCAGAGGAGAGGAAATCATCTCAAAGGTCTGTGAAAGGGTGATTTTTGAGAAGAGACCCTACACATTTTTACTTTTTGAGATGTCTCACTCTTGTCGCCCAGGCTGGAGTGCAAAGGCAGCATCTCTGCTCAGTGCAAGCTCCATCTCCTGAGTTCAAATGATTCTCCTTCCTCAGCCTCCCGAGTAGCTGGGACTACAGGCATGCGCCACCACGCCTGGCTAATTTTTGTATTTTTAGTAGAGATGGGGTTTCATCGTGTTGGCCAGGCTGGTCTCAAACTCCTGACCTCAGGTGATCCACCCGCCTCAGCCTCCCAAAATGTTGGGATTACAGGCGTGAGCCACCGCGCCCGGCCACCCTAAAAATCTTTTAATGCAAGAGAATCCTGTAGAAAGAACTCCCACCTGTGGTTCCTTGCCACCCTCACCCCTCCCAAGTTACCCTTAGCTGCAACAGGCCAGATCCTTTGTTCCAGGAAGGCTGGTTGGGAACAAGGGGCCACCTGGAGTCAGCAGCTGAATGGATGCCTGAGGTTCATGGATTCTTTCTAAGACTTTTCCAAATCCCCTTTCTGCTGCCACTGGAATTGTCTCCCAGAAACACAGTTCAGACTGTTTGACTTCCCAATTCTTTAGCATCCAGGCTTTCCCTTGGTTAGGTCCCAGCCTACTTATTCTCTCATATAATCTGTACACCAGTCATATGAGGTAAGTACAATTGCCATATCCATTTTACAGATGAAAACACTGAGATTAGATTCATAACGTGCCCAAGGTTCCATAACTGGCAAAGGGTACTGCCCATGTTTACACCCACATCTCTGACTCCTGGGCCCAGTGCATAGACCCTGTGGCCTGCTCAACATCCTGGATCATTGCTAGAGGAATCGGGGGGCTCATGCCTTCTCCTCTGCTTCGATGGGGGCCAACTTAAGCTATGGACCAGAAGGGGTGGCCCATGGGAAAGACAAAGCAGGAGGAATTAGCAGTACTGGAGGGGAGGCAGGGCCTTTATCTTAGCGGCCTTGTCTGTTCAAATCCAGAGACATCCTCTCCACCCTGGGAGGCAGGAAAGCAGCCCAGTCAGAGAGGTGGAGCCCTGGACAACAGATCTACAACAGTGCAACACCCAACCCTGGCCCAGTGGAGGCTGCAGCCTGGCCAGGAAGGGCTCAGGTCAGCTTGATTAACATATTGCTGACCCAGCCAGGTGCGGTGGCTCACGCCTGTAATCCCAGCACTTTGGGAGGCCAAGGTGGGCGGATCATGAAGTCAGGAGATCGAGACCATCCTGGCTAACACGGTGAAACCCCGTCTCTACTAAAAATACAAAAAAAAAATTAACCAGGCATGGTGGCGGGTGCCTGTAGTCCCAGCTACTTGGGAGGCTGGGGCAGGAGAATGGCATGAACCCAGGAGGTGGAGCTTGCAGTGAGCCGAGATTGCGCCACTGCACTCCAGCCTGGGTAACAGAGCGAGACTCTGTCTCAAAACAAAAACCAAACAAACAAAAAAACATATTGCTGATCCATTTTCATATCTTAAAATTAGAAACAGAAGGCCAGGTGCGGTGGCTCAAGCCTGTAATCCCAGCACTTTGGGAGGCTGAGACGGGGGGATCACGAGGTCAGGAGATGGAGACCATCCTGGCTAACACGGTGAAACCCCGTCTCTACTAAAAAAATGCCAAAAAAAACTAGCCGGGCGTGGTGGCGGGCGCCTGTAGTCCCAGCTACTTGGGAGGCTGAGGCAGGAGAATGGCGTGAACCCGGGAGGCAGAGCTTGCAGTGAGCTGAGATCCGGCCACTGCACTCCAGCCTGGGCGACAGAGTGAGACTCTGTCTCAAATTTAAAAAAAAAAATTAGAAACAGAAGTACAAGCTCCGGCTATTCTATTTATCAAATCAGAGCAGAGTGAGGCTGACGTTTGTGGAAGCTGAGGTTTCTCTGCTCACCTTGGTCATTTAGGGCACCCTCTCCTTGTTCCCCTGTCAGTGTCCAGGTCTCCCCAGTTCTTGCCTTCTTCCCTCTCTCCCGTCTCAAAACACTGTATCAGGACCAGATCCCAGAGAGTGCCCCACCTGGAGGTGATAATGATTTGAATGTTAAGGCTGGGTCTTTAATTTTGTGTCTTCATGCTTCTGCTCTGAACCACTTAGGAAGTAGATCCAGAAATCAGGCAGTTGGGGCGCAACAGATCAGTTTCAGATGGATGAAAGTTGAGTTGGAGGCTGGGGCTTAGGTGTGTGGCCACAGCCTGGGATAATGCTTCACTTTGGACTTGAACTCCTCACCCCATCACAGGCAAGTGGGTTGCCACAGGCCTCCCTGGAGGGGTGGAGCCTGCCTGGGGAATATGGAATAGTAGGAAGGGGCTAGATCACAGAAGGCCTTGGATGCCTAGCTAAAACGTCTAAATTTGGGCTTTGTGTTTTATAGGAGTTGTTGAGGATTCTTTTGAGTAGATGACATGTCCTGACCTGCTACATTCTTTCAGAGGATTGATTTGGGATAAAAGATGGTTTGGAAAAGAAAGACTGTCAAGAGAAAACTGGGCCGGGTGCGGCAGCTCACACCTGTAATCCCAGCACTGTGGGAGGCCGATCCTCCCACCTCAGGCGGGTGGATCACCTGAGATCAAGAGTTTGAGACCAGCCTGGCTAACATGGCGAAATCCCGTCTCTACTCAAAATACAAAAATTAGTGGGGTATGGTGGCGCATGCCTGTAATCCCAGCTACTCGGGAGACTGAGGCAGAGGAATCGCTTGAACCTGGGAGGCGGAGGTTGCAGTGAGCCAAGATCTTGCCACTGCACTCCAGCCTGGGTGACACAGCGAGACTGTCTCAATAAAAAAAAAAAAAAAAAAAAAAAAAAGAGGGAGAAAACCGCTGAGAAGATGCAAACTAATCACTCCTGGAAGACAGTGGTCTGAATCTAAGTAATGCTCTCTAGTATTCATTCCACAAGGGTCTCAGGCGTCTCATGAAATCTCAGGCTGACTTACACTCACATTAGACACATTCAGGTTTTGGGTTGAGCATATCCATGAGTATTTGCAGATAGTAATTCTAATAACTATTAAATAATTCATGCTGACATTGTTTTCCCTGTTGTGTTCTTGAAAAAGATGCTGTTTACCGCACAGGCAGTGGTGAAAATAAATTAGCCACCTGCTTTGCCACCCCTTTTCCAATCTTGCTGTGTCCCATGGGGGATGCAGGCTCTGCTGGGCACCTTTCTGAAAGTGTTCTTTTCAGTAGAATATGTGCTGAGCTTTTTTGCAAAATCAGGCCTTAAAAAAAAGTTACACTTTTTAATTTTCATTTAAAAAATTTCTTTTTCACTCCATTAAAATTCATCTCCATGAAATGGGTTCAGAGTGGTTTTAGCAATTCTGTCTGTCACCCATTCTAAGATACTGCTGGCGCCACGTGCAGCCACCCCCTGCTGAATGGGAAGCAAGTGGCAGAGCCGAGTGTGCACCTGGAACCCCAGTGTTGAGGTCTCTGGTCAAGGCGGCCCCCACTCTCCTTTCATTCGCAACCCCCCACCCCCAGCCCACACTACCTGCCAGTTTTACATCTGTTTGGACAGGAAGCCTTACAACCCTGCTCTGCTATTTTTAGGAAGCGCTCACATTGAGTCAGCCTTTCTGCTGGATTCACGCCCTCTGCTTGATGGTTCTCGGGCTGTCTGCCTTTTCAGCAGGAGCCTCGGGCTCACATCCTCAGACAGGGAGCACAACGCTTCTCTTCTCCCTGCCTGTCTCAGCTTTGGTCTGCACCCCCATTTTTATCACCTTCCTAGAACAAGGGCAGGCTTTTAGGGGGTCCATATTTTCTTGTTTCTCTCATTAACAGTCTCCCCACAAGTCATGCACATTAACATGGATAGAGCTGGAGGCCCTTCCTCTTTTTCACAATTGTGCATTAATGTAGCTATAAGTGGGAACCTTTTTTTTTTAAATCAAGTCTACATTCAAACATGCTTTTAAACTAAAAATAACTGCATTTAAATAACTTTAGGCAGAATGATATAAAGGAGGATTTAAATGTTAGCTGTAAATTGATACTCTTCATTCTTATCAATTCTTATCATTTCTTATCCCAGAGTATAGCCAAGTGACTGTTATAGAAAAGGTGCTTAATAAATGCTTGATGGAGGAAAGAATAAATGAATAAATTCTGTAATGTTAATAGTTTGGTGATGTATCCCTCTCAAGGGTGAAACTTGTAATTTAACACTCAGAACTTTTCTTTAATAAATTGCAAATGGTAGAGTTTTCAGGCATCTGTCCAGGTTGCACCAGAAATATTTCAGGCAACTGAAATATTTCTTTGGCTGAGGGGCTCTGGTGCCCCTCAAAGGCCAGGTCTGATTCCCAACAAAGCCAACTCTAGTCATCTTCCTAGGAGATTTTATAAACCAGGGAACTAGTGAAACACATTTCATTGAGAAAGTTACACCAAGATTTGATCAATTCAATTTAAAATGGCTTAACCAGTAAAGAAAATGTATTACCTCTAAAACAAGCAGTCTTTGGATAGGACAAGTCTAAGGTTAGTTATTCTAGTGGCTCAATAATGACATTAAGGTCTGTGCACTTTCCGCTTCTTCCCAGCTACCTCGAGGGTATTAGCTTTGCTATCACAGGCTTACACTCCTTATGGTTGCAAGGTGGCTGCCACAACTGCAGCATCATATGCAGACATGACAGTGTTCAACAGAGAGGAACAGTTTCTTCCCCTGCCTCTCTTTCAGGACTTCAGAGTACCTTACCAGAAGCTCCTCAGAAAAATGTCCCATATATAGTATATATATAAAATATTTATATATTTTTATAAATATATATATTTTAATATGGGAGAGAGAGATATATTTATTTATTTATTTATTTATTTTGAGACAGGGTCTCATTCTGTCACTCAGGTTGAAGTGCAGTGGCGTGATCTTGGCTCACTGCAGCCTCAACCTCCTGGGCTTAAGCGATCCTCCCACCTCAGCCACCCTTTGTAGCTGGAACTACAGGCATGTGCCACCACACCCTGTTCCCTTATACCTTTTTGGCCAGAGTAGGGTCACATGCCCACTTCCAAACTAACACTGGCAATAGAACTGGTACCACTGTGGACAATTTCAATCATTCGTGGTTTACAATTGAGCCATATAGCAGAGGCAGAGACACCTAAACACATTAGGACCCTTCCAGCAAGGATAAAGGGAGGGAGAGCTATAGGATGGGCCATCTACAGTGCTGGCTCTAGCGCCCCTCAAAGGCCAGGTCTGATTCCCAACAAAGCCAACTCTAGTCATTTTCCTAGGAGATTTTATAAACCAGGGAACTAGTGAAACACATTTCATTGAGAAAGTTACACCAAGATTTGATCAATTCAATTTAAAATGGCTTAACCAGTAAAGAAAATGTATTACCTCTAAAACAAGCAGTCTTTGGATAGGACAAGTCTAAGGTTAGTTATTCTAGTGGCTCAATAATGACATTAAGGTCTGTGCACTTTCCGCTTCTTCCCAGCTACCTCGAGGGTATTAGCTTTGCTATCACAGGCTTACACTCCTTATGGTTGCAAGGTGGCTGCCACAACTGCAGCATCATATGCAGACATGACAGTGTTCAACAGAGAGGAACAGTTTCTTCCCCTGCCTCTCTTTCAGGACTTCAGAGTACCTTACCAGAAGCTCCTCAGAAAAATGTCCCATATATAGTATATATATAAAATATTTATATATTTTTATAAATATATATATTTTAATATAATATATGGGAGAGAGATATATATATATTTATTTATTTTTTTTTTTTTGAGACAGGGTCTCATTCTGTCACTCAGGTTGAAGTGCAGTGGCGTGATCTTGGCTCACTGCAGCCTCAACCTCCTGGGCTTAAGCGATCCTCCCACCTCAGCCACCCTTTGTAGCTGGAACTACAGGCATGTGCCACCACACCCTGTTCCCTTATACCTTTTTGGCC